AGCTGGATGAAATTAACAAGGTGGCAAACTTGGCTAGTTGCCTAAGCAGATGTTGGCATCAAGATTTATTTCCTTTTTCATGTTCATAATGAAAACAGGGTAAAGTAAATATTTCTTTTACTTGTTAATAAATCAGCTGTTTGATTAGTAAATGACAGAGATCAATTCTAAAGGATTATGCAGTTTGGGATTTTAAAATGAGGCTGTTGGCCATATCAATAGGTCACTGCATGAGTGAAAGTTTATTTTGCTTTTATAACAAAACATATGGCCGCTTTGTATGGCCCTAAAAAGTGACAGTATTAGCAAGATGACCATATCACCGAGGTTGTCATTACAAAGGGTTCCACTGTGATGGTGTTCCAAAATACATTGCATTTATCATTGAAAGTTTATCGGTAACCTTAGACTTCTCATTGGTCATTCTGAATTACAGACTCACTTACCTACCCCAAATTGATAACAACTTAAATGTCAGTTGCTTAGCAACAGAGACTGCAAAAATTGGGTTTGTAAGACAAACATCATTTATGAGGATATTGTGTTTCAGAACTGAGACCACAAGACACATGACCAATATTGTCCAATATTGTCCAAACACTGAACTTTAGATTGAAAGACCTGTTTTCAAGCCATGGTTCATCCCTAACTTAGTTCTTGGGAATTACATTCTCCACTTGAAGTTCCCTTCTCCACACTAGAGTATGGATGGGTGAAAGAGGGATACCCCCGCAATGGATTGGCATCAGGGGGCCATTTCTCACTGGTCCCAGTAATGCACTGGACCCCTAAAGCTGTTCTGTCTTTATAATTTCAGGATAAGAGTTTTCAAAGTTTTGAAAGTTATACAATTTAACTTTCAACTAAAGAAACAAAATGGACTGGTCAGGGAGCCAGTACCTGCTTCTCTATTCTTTAAATTTTGATCCTACATTATAGCTTCAGGCCTGTTGATTTACTGGGACTTTTAACAAATGGGCCCCAGGCCCAAAGGGGGATAGCAGTAAACATTATGTTGCTGAAATCAGGTTAAGCTTAATAAATGGACCTTCTGATCAATAAGTTTTCTTAAAGTAGAAAAACATATTCTGTAACGGTAACAGTTCCAAGAAAAAGGATAAGAAAGGACATAAGAAACAAACCCTCAATTTCCTTCCTGTAAGTCCTGTTACGCAGCCATCAACAGCCTCAGCCACTGTTGAGGTATCAACATCACCACTTCCACTGGTATCAATTAGATCAATTATTTTTCGGCGTCCATCAGGGGTTTCCTTAAAACAAAAAAAAAAAGGAGAGAGACCTTAGAACTACGGGTTACCTTTGGCAGGGAATGTTGTGAAGGTACAATAGCTAAAATTTATCATGGGAGCTGTCTTCAAATTTTAAAACAGGGCAGAAATACAGATTATTACATCCCTTGCAGCGCCTGTGGACAGGATGAAGCTACTCCTGTGTTCTTATTAGCTACCCGAGCAGACAGGATGGGCTCATCTTGGCTGCTCAAGATTGCCCGCATTGATCCCACGCATGAAAAAAAATGAATTAGAACTACATTCATAATTCTTGAAAAAATTTTGGTGATGGAAACACAGAAACTGGCAGAAGATATAGAGTCAAAACAAAGAAAACAGAAACAACTCTCGTGAGTTTGATGTGCTACAAACACAGTTGGCTTTCTTTCCTGGCTCATGAAGTAAATAAGCCATTCTTAATCCTTAATGAAGCAAAAATTTTTTGCAATATAATAAATCTTTTTGTTAACCAAGCTTGTTCCATCAAGATGACTGGATATTAGTCTTGTTCTTTTTTCGCATTTTTAAGGACCTGGACTTCGTCTCGGCCATAAAAATGCAAAAAAAGAACTTGGCCAATATCTAGCCATCTTGACCTCACACTTGGTTAATAACACATAAGTATTGTTCTATTACTTTCAGTGTTTCATGTTTCTCGTCCTTTTTGTCTCTTGATCTTATTATCATCTTAGTATAATTACTAAAATAGTGGCAAGCATTGAAGGTGCATTCTGATTAACAACTCAAACTCCAAATATCCTAAATGCTATTCACCTCCAAGCAACTTGCATCTAAAATATTATAATCCTTGCAGTAATAAATGGATTAAAATCACTGTTTTATGCCACAATTATGATCTCACTGTTTTTGTTCATACTAATACAAATATTAACTTCATTGTTGGTGGTTGGTNAAATTTCTGTGGGGCAACTATCAGCCAGTAGTTCCTCAACAGAAACACTCTGTTGTTTAAATAGTGTACAATGTTAAAACATAACATTGATACATTGTAGCTAAAGAGTTCCCTTTTATGTAACAAATCTTACGTGACCAGAAAAAACAAGCGCGTGCCGAAAAATAGTCTTTGCATTTGCTTATGTCAACAGCGTACATCCATGGGCAAATGGGGGATGCTAAATTGACCAATCAGAGTGCACGCTTTACTTTTGTTATGTTATAAACTAAAATAGCGGCAAGCATTGAAGGTGCACTCTGATTAGCAACTCAAACTCCAAATATCCTAAATGCTATTCACCTTCAAGCAACTTGCATCTAAAATATTATAATCCTTGCAGTAATAAATGGATTAAAATCACTGTTTTATGCCATATGATCTCACTGTTTTTGTTCATACTAATACAAATATTAACTTCATTGTTAGTGGCTGGTGGTAAATATTTACCTCTGCTTTGCAGCTTAGTAAATATATCTATCACTAGCCACCTCCACTTCGCTGAATATATTTGATAACTATCAGAGATTTCCCTCAACATGTCACCTTGTCCATAAGGAAGCCGGCCAGTTTTTAGACGAGTGGACTTGTCAATGTAAATCTTGTCTTAGGACAGCTTGTTAGTTACAATGTGGAAAAAACTTAAAGTTATGTCAGAGATGATATACCACAAAACTCTTTCCTCAAACTAAAACTTTTCTTAGGCCTGAAAAACTCCGTTTCATTGATAGTGACTTGAAACCGAGACCATAGCAATTAAATCTAATTTTCATTTTCGTTTCCGTTAAGTTAGTGCACCTCAAAAATATTTGAATTGAATCCGTACGTACTTATCACTGGAAGTAAGACTTACCTGTAAACCAGGAGCTCCTGGATCAACTCCTGTGTCAAAAACAGCGATGACAATTCCACGGCCATCATACTCAGGATATTTAGCTAAAAATCTCTCTGCACCTGTTTCTCGCTTGGGTAAAAGCCCGTGAATTGGAAAGTCGCCGGTATTGATAGCCGCCATCTTTGATACAACTGAAGATTACCGCTGACCCCAGGGATCTGCAAACGAAGGAACTCGGCAAAAATGAATTCATGGCAGTCTCATCAGAGAGGCATTTTGTCTGCGCATGCGCGAGCGGAATTAGTCTGTCGCCTTCGGTGCCATTTGTAGAGTTTTCGACGCATTTCTGCGAGCTTTCACTGGACGATCGACACCTTTTTGTAATATTTTGTGAATATGCATGAAGGAGTATGATAAGTTCGCCAACATTTCTAACTCTGTGGATACTCATGGTGTTTGCTGACTCTTCGGTTGAGGATATTTTAATGATCAAAGTGCGAACAAAACGCGAAAAAAGCCCGAAAACTTGAAGTTTGAGATTTGACTTACTGAAGATCAATATGTACACATGAGACAATAAACCTTGAAGGTTAGTCTTAAGATGTTGATGTTTTATTTTGTGAATCACAAAGTTGTCTGTGGAGACGATCGTGAGATATTTGATCCGAGGAAAGATAGAAATTTAGCGTTTGAGACTCTCTAAGTCTGTTGAATATGGTGGGTAGGCATGTGTCTCAACAACGGTTATGGTCTTACCTCAATCAACTACGGTTTTGACTTATTTTTTTACTGTGTTTTGGCGGTAATTTTTATTCGAGCTTTTCGAGCTTCGTGTGCTAACTAGAGGAAAAACTTCGGTAAAACTTATTTATCAATTGGCCCCCAAATCCCTTTCTATTGTCAGTTCATTGTTTATTTATCTAGCTTTCGGTCTAACTAGTCCATTAACCTCAAAAAAATGCGTGGGCTTTGTCTCATGAGTAAAACTGGTGCCCTTTTCTTCATGTTCATGTGTTATTCGAAACGAATGGCGTCAGCTGTATTCTGTCCTGTTCATTTCAGTAGAATGCTTTGCCTTGCGAAATGAATGTTGAGTCGAAGTGCACTATGAATTTCAAACCAGTTGAGTTATATTTCACTTTGCTGTATGTGTCGTGATCATGAAATTCTTATTTATTAAGATTGATGATATGAATTAACTTTTATGTTCTCTTCTGTTTAAGGTAATGTGAAGTGACCCAATAATTGGTAGTATAGACAGAATGGTTGGCAGTGACATTTACTGTGGCAAGCTGTTATTCAAGAATTTGTCATTATTCCCAGAAGCTTACTACTGGTTTAAATTATTAGTCTTTTGTTCTCTGTACACAACTTGCCTAGACTAATATGCTATATGGGAGTTATGTCTACTTTATTTGTAAAATTGGTAAAATTACCAATAAAATTTCCAATAAAGTTTTCAGAAGTTTTGTCCAGATTTCATTGAAAATGAATGTGAGAAGTGATCAGTCATATTCCTTAAGAGTGTTTAAGCTTCCAGGATGAGAGCTAATAAATTTATTGAGTGATTCATACATGATTTGTCTCCTGTAAAATTGTCACAGCTAAACCCCCTGGCAAATGTCTATAAATTTCTNGGATATGAGATGATTATCGCCAACTCGGCGCTATGCGCCTCGTTGGCTATCTATCATCTCATATCCAACGCACGCTCATGGAATAATTGTTAATTATTATATGGTTGTCTCACAAGGACTGGGAACTACTGAATTCACGAATTTGATTGGCTGAAATCAATATTGAAAGCAGTAGATTTTCCCATCTAGACTGGCATCTAGACCGGTCTAGGAAAAAAAAGGTACAAAGAATATAAAAAATTGGCATACACGACAACCATATAATAAACATCTTAACCGAGATAGGTCGGTCTGTATGGGAGAATCTTGACCTCGGTCGCCATTACAGACCTCACTGCATTTGGTCTGTACTGGCGACCTTGGTCAAGATTCTCCCATAGAGACCTCTCACTCGGTTAATAAGAACTAAATATTGATTTCCTTTATAAACTTGTATAATACATTGCTTTTGAGAACCCTGTTGTCTTTTAAGAGTAAAAGTAAATAACAGCTTTGATTAGCAATGTCTACTTGGTATTTTTGCAGCTATTCTATCATGTACAAACATGAGGAATACTGTAGAACATCAGCCTTCCCCAGAGCCATTCTAATTTTATTCCTCCTTTCATTTTTCCTGGGAATCACAATGGATTCCCTGAGTCCATCACAAATTTTGTAATCTAGCTACTACTCTAAGGAGAAGTTAATTACTGATTTATCCAAGGAGTTAGGGATAAAAAGTCATTGCTTCTTAATTGCATTCTTCAGTTTTTAACCCTACTCCCACGAGTGACCAAGACAGAACTTCTCATAACATTATAAATATAATATCAAGCAGACAAATTAGAATACAGAAAATGGACAATCGGTTGATCAAATACCAAATTCTCCAAACTAACATCAAAGGAATTGTATGGCAGACACTGAGGAGAATTACTGAGATCTTGGGAGTGAAAGGGTTAAGTCTTTCATATGCTAGTTAATTGGTAGTTTCAAGAAACCAAGATTGAATCATAATTATACTGTCAGGAATGTGAAACAGAATTAAAGTAACCCTTGTTATAGCAAAGCGCTGCTACGCAGGCTACCCTTGTTACTAATATCCTAAGTCTAACTCAACTCTTTGACTCAACTGAGTGGTCAGAAAATAAATTTTCTTCACAATGGTTAATATAATAGTCAAGCAAATGATAAAAAGAATAGAATATTAATGAAGTATAGTTCATTTTGTCTTGCTTTGTAGTTTCTGATGCCATGCACATACTGACAATGCTACTTGCATCCAAAGTAACATCATAAGCCAAATAGCAAGGCTTCATTTCTATTCCGCTCTTCTAGCTGATAAATTTCATCAGAGAGAATAACTGGTTTCATATGTTCAAGTTATGCAGTTCAAATTTCAAATGTGCCCAAGTTTGCAAGTTTTTAGGTAAGACTTAATGTAAAAGAACAAATTCACCATCACTTAATGTGTGAAAGGTAAATTACTGTAAAAAATTGGAGCTGAATAAATTGCAAGTACTATCATTCTCTTGACCAGCAAAAAAATAGCAATTACCAATGAAAGTAAATCCATTTTATAATTTTTTTTTAAATCTTTACAAATTCTTTGCTCTCTGTGAACCAATTATTTTTGTAAATACATCACAGATGACAATTATGAGACATACAAGTCTTTTTTTCACCCTTAAAAAATCCTACTCATTTCTTTTTAGAGACTTTAATTTCATCACATGAAAACTTTCTTCAGAATCCCCTAAAATTGACTCTTCTTTGAATATAATTAACCCAAAACTTACAAGATCCTGTCTATTTTACCTTTTACCTTTAAGGGATAACTCTTAACCTAAACAAAAATCTCTTTCAAAGTCAAGGCAAATTATTGTCCATTAGACACCCAAGAAGTATAAATTTCAATTAAGTCTGAGCAGAATGCTACCATCAAAACCACTTCCATCTGGATATAATCTAGAAACTGAAAAGCTGCTTAAAAAAACGTTTCCTCCATACATTTCAGAAACTTCAACTTCGCTACAATTATTACATGGAAAACAGTCCCATCTTTTTACAAATTTGACTACTAACAATAGTTACTGGTAGTATACCTAAAATTTTAAAGATAATTTCTGTTTTATCTAAAAATGCTGTGAAGTAAATACTCAATTTCCTCAACTAAGCATCCAGCTAAATAGAGGGGCACTTATCAGAAGACTAAGAAACTCTTGGTCTGTACTGATATTGCTGAAGTTGAGCTTTAAAAGTTATAAAGAAAGTGGCAAGACACAAGTTTTCCTTTCATCTTTTGCTATTTAGGAATGACTTAATTATTTAAGGTGATTAATTCTGACAGTCTACAAAATGTTTTTGTAGTTTGACAAATAAATGCTAAAGCACTGGATAAAAAAGTTTAAGTTCTCTCAAGATGCAGCAAAGTTTGATAGTCTAACCTGAGATAAATAGTTACTGCACTTCTGCAATGCTATTCCCACAGCTGTTGCTTAATCAGAGCTGCCTATGCATCAGGTTTACTATATGCTTAAAAAAATACAAGTCCAACAATGTCCCTTTGGTAGTTAAGGATATCCACATGCAGTACCTTTCACAAATCTTAGGAGCTGGAGACTCTTGAAACTCTTTTAATATGCTCTCACGACTCATTTGATATTGGTTGCACTTTCCAATTTTTCTTTTTCAACTTTCAGCAATCTTCAATGTGGAAGTATGCACTTTAATCCCTTTCTTCCTATTATTTCTCTTCTTCTATAAAGTTATTGCAGTCTTCCTTTTGAAATGGTATTGTGTATACATTTTAAATTCGACTTTGTACTTTATAAACATTTTAACTGAAGATGACAGAAGAACTGGCAAAACATGTCTTTTAAAAATGTCAATTATTTTCTTGAATTTGTGACATATCTGCTCATATTTAGTCATCATCAATTTCCATAAATTCATCCCAGGTATGTTCCATCACCCCTTCTTGTGACTGCAAAACACTACAACCATTTGGGGTGGTAATGATAATGAGATAACAAAAGCATCTGGACAATGCTGTGTAAAGGAGTTCCTTTACATTCCACATCACCTCTTCACTATATGGTGGGTTATAAAGAATGACCACTTTGGACTCCAACCCTTTGAAGCGCCTGATGCTCTCGACTACAACTTTATCTTCACATGTTTCAAATAGTTCTTCTGCATTTTGGTTCTCAATTCCATTTACCTTCAACATTCTACTGATATCATCTCGAATTGTAACATTTTGGGTCATAATACAGATGTCTTTGTCATGCACTTTGTTTCTCTTGAGCTCTTCAACATGCCTCTTGATGCATTTTGCACCATTATGTAGGTCTAGTGGCAGTGAGTCATCCCACTTAATTTCCAATCCACATACATGGTGCCCTAAAACGATAGACTGACCATTTGAAAAATACTTCTTTGATTGGTCAAAGACCATCTTTGTGTTTCTAAAAACTGTGGAGAGGCTGAGTGATGCTCTTTTCAGCAGTGGGTGCTGAGGTGATAGTCTCAGGTACTGATTTGTATCATATAAGAACCAGATGTTTCTAGGTGTGACTTCATCATGACCCTTACACAACTTTTCAAAAAGAATGGGCCACTTGTCACCACAGAGATCTTGGCATTCGTCAACAAATATATAATCATACCTTTGGACCAACTGAGTCTCATTCTCCAAACTTTCTACAGCTTGGGAAATACATTTTTCTTTCTCCTTATCAGAATTTCCAGGTTTTGACCTAGTCAATTCATAGAGAAGTGACTCAAAAGTCTTCACTCTCACTACTCCTTGTGTATTTCCATTCAGGTTATCTGCAAATGTTTTGGACAGCATCACAAACAGAGGCCTGTTGTAACAAACAACAAGTATTTTCTCTTCTGTGTTCCCCCTGAGTGCATTCTCAGCAAGCATCAGAACTTTTTTAATGAGCAACCATGTCTTCCCACTACCTGCAGGTCCTGTTATCCATTGCTGTGATTTTAGATCCAGGAGAACTCTCAACTGCTCTTTTGTGCACATCTCAAGAGCCTTCCCATCATCTTCAATTGATCCACTGAGGGTGCAGTGAAAGCTGTGTGCCATTCCAACAAAGCTGCACAAAAAATAATGTAAAATTAAGTTCTCTTAGAATTCGATTTCTCTATTCATGAGCTAGAGTTAGATTACTTTAGTTGAGCAGCATACCTTGTTGTTTTACTAAGCTAGTGTGCAAGAAAGGTCAAATACATTGTTTTGCATTTGCTCCTTGTCATAAGCAATATACCTATATGACACTTCTTATTATTAAAAGCTGGATCATTGGATAATGCAATTCAAGACTTTTTATTGGCTTAGCCATTATGGTATATCAGCCAATATACCATAATCTACAAATATGGTAAGCGTACGCATCAGCTTAAAATCAAAAGGGAGCTAAAAAATCCAGTTTCTTCTTACAAAATAATAATTTCTTGGGGGCGTTTTTAATAAAACAATTATTCCACTCGCGCTTGTTGGATATGAGATGATTATAGCCAACTCGGCGCTACGCGCCTCGTTGGCTATCTATCATCTCATATCCAACGCGCGCTCGTGGAATAATTGTTAAATATACCACGAGAGGCAGACGATGGCTCTTCCAAGACATTCTGAGTTTTGAAACTGTGAATATTAATTAGTTAGACGAGGAAACGAGAGGATTTCTCTCACAGCAAATTTTCGCATGCAGTGCAAACGAGCACGGACTAAAATGGACGAAGACCATTTCTTTAAAATAGGACATCTAAGGCACTAAAAGACTGAACGAACTACGTCTGGCAAAACAAATAATATTTTAAGGGTTTAGCTTGTTTTTATGATCATTAACTCAATCAAATTTTGTATTCCACTAAATTTTCGATGAATTTCTTTCCTTGCGGAAAATAAATAAAGGTACTCCCTCATCGAGACAATTCCCTATAAAGCTAAACGGTAATTGTAAAAGCAACTTCTTTCCAAATATGTAACGTATAGTGGCCATAGACATCTTAGCGACAAGATTACATCATTTCAAAATGGCGGAGATATTGCCAAAGAACAAGTATGCGAAAGA